TTTGTTTGCTAACAAACCTGAAGTCATCTTGGAGTCATTCTCTGGGACCCAGCTGAAGTGCCACCAGTCTTTCCTGGCTCCCCAGCACTTCCCTCTCCCTGCAAAGCCCTGGGGTAAGGTGGAGCATCTTGACTGCCCTCTCATTAACCTCACTAAGCCACAGTGACCAAAGGTGCACATCTCTGTCCCTGGAGAGGTCCCCACTGCTGGCTGCTGTCATTGCTGATGGGCAGTGACACAGCAAGCCTGTCTGCACCTGCTCCCACCTGTTGGATGAGATGCCCACTGAGGGTCAGCTGTCCACTCCCAAACCTGCGTATAGCAGCTACATCAGAATGTTTTTAATGGGATACTTTACATTGCAGTGAAGTCTGAGTGCAAAAGGAGAGGGTGCTATCAAACAGTGGACGTTAATACAGCTAATTAGAAAAATTCCTGTCTTAGACCACTGTTTGGGGAGGGAATGAGAAGCATGATTATCTACGAAACTTCTGCCCTCCGGTTGCTTTGCAAGCATCTTTGACTTCTCCATTTCTGATGAGACCTGAATAATGGAGATTGGAAGCCCAGAATTGGGGTGACTCAGAGAGGCCCCTTGAGGGTCCGCTGGTGGGCTTAATGCAAAGAAAACCTTTGGACCTGCTCAGAAGAGCAGGCTATGAAAGTGTGTTTATAAGTTTTATATTAAAATATCAAAGGTAGGTGTGTGTTATTCTTACAAAGCCATTCCCCGATTTAAATGGCTTTTCAAAACCCAATCCAGGCTCTATCTTGGCAATGACAGGTAAGAAGACTCCTGTTGAAATTGAATGTTGTAAAATACGTGCCTATGAGGATGCACTTAAGTCCTGGAGAACAAGGTGCACGTCTCATTCCTCTTCCCATGTCCAGTGCAGGCACACAGTAGGCTTTTCATAAACGTTCATCAGCAACTCAATGAATAATGAGAGATTGGGTTCTCTCCTCGTCCCCAGCCCTGCTCCTCACGTGTCTTGAACTTTAGCTGCAGAGCATGAACTTCTGCTCTGGACTTTCCTTCTGGTGACTGTGGTGCCACATGCCTTCCAGATGTAACTCGTGGGGTGGCACCTGCATGCTTCTACCCTCTCCGTGAGCCACTGTACCCACGGGTTCTGCATCCTGACTGACCTCTGTATATGAGTGTGGGTGGAAGACGGGAAGAGAGTCCTGCAGGTGCTCAGAGTGTCACACAGCGTTTAGAATGTGGGGACATGCAGCAGGGACTGTGTCCTCATGTGACTTCCTGAGCTATGTCCCCAGGCTTCCCTTCTGTGACTTTCCAAAGCAACATTTTGAAGCCGAAAGGGAAAGGATGATTCATGTTGTGTGAGCATTTCTCAAGGAGTAAATAGTGGATTGTGAAAGCTTCCCCTTGGGTTTGTCCCTGGATGAAGTGAGCAACTTCCTCTCAACCCTTTAATAAGAGGAATGACGCTTCTGCCGAAATATGATAAATCATGCCCCTTTCTTGCTGGATGGAAATATTGAGCCAGTTTACCCTCAGAAAATACCTAAAAGGTTCTTTGCCCTGGAATGGTCTCTGATTATCGCACTTTACGTCGAATGATGTGTTTTAAACCCTCGTTACAGGTTTCCCCTTCTCTCCCCCTGCAGCTCGAGCTCACCTTCAGCTACCTGGAGATCCATGGCGTCTTCTGCAACAGGCCAGCCCAGGTGGGTGTGAGTGGCAGGAGCCGGCCACAAAGGTCATGACCTAGTGCAGATTCCGGAAGCCCTTTGCTTTCACTATTGAAGGCTTCCTGAGATGGTAGGAAAACAAGATTAGGGAAAGTGGGGTTCTCAGAGTGAGGGCTCACTGAGGCTGTGTGCGAGCAGTGGGGGAGTGGTTCTGATAAGGAAAATGGATGGCTGAGAATATCCAGTTAGCTCTGTAAGCTGACTGTAGGAACGAGAGAGTGCTGTCCTTAGAGGCTCTCTACGGCAGATCTTCACACTGAAAGTTCATGGACTGTGGAAGGCTTTTCCTGGAGGAGAGCGGCACATATAGTTTTTAGTGTTATGAATTAGATTTAAGGCTGGGGATGTGGCTCCGTGGTGGAGCACTCGCCTAGCACGTGTGAGGCACTGGGCTCCATCCTCACCACCACATAAAGATAAAATAAAGGTGTTGTGTCCAACTACAACTAAGAAAACATTTTAAAAAGATGAGATTTACAGAACCCAGCTTTGTTGAGCTATAAATCGCTGCATTCAAGTGCAAAATCCGATGGCCTTCAATGGCCTGTGACACAGTACTCAAGCACAGTACACCAGGAAGTGGGGGCCACAGTGAGGACACGAGTCCAGCCGTGGCCCCGAGGGCCTCCTGCACCCTGGCAGCCCATCTGCAGCGGTTCCCTGCGCTCTCACGGGGGTCTGCAGCCTGTCTGCCCTCCCACTCCCATGGCATGTTGAGACCTGTCTTGTTCCGGGTCCTCCGTGGCCCAGGCTGCTCCGCCGTGGGCTCCTGGCGGTGGGTGGAGCCTCTCCCCTGGGGAGGACGTGGGTTTGTTTCTGTAGTGAGTGACAGCTGCTCTGAATGCTGACCTTGAGTCTTTGGAGGGTGCTTTCTTTTCCCCTGGGGGCCCCTTGGGGCGCCAGGGTGGAGTCTGCCCTGGGTACGTGGCTCATTGGGTGTCAGCCTCTTTTCCAGGGAGGGTTCTGCCCACCTGCACCTGCCACGAGGAGCGCTGTTCCTCCCTGTGCCCCCGGGTGCTGGTGAGGCTGGTCCCGCGGTTCCAGTCACTCTGATGGCTCTGTGATGCCTTTCCTGGTGGCTTTCATTTGCGTTCTCCACTACGTGTCTTTAGTGAGTGTGAGCTCAGACCTTCCCCCATTTTTAAAATAGGGTTGTTGGTTTTCTTTGTGAACTTTAAGAGTTCTAAAAAATACAGATTCTGGGTGATGCTCCTTTGTGCAACGCATGACTCCTGCCCACTTTCTCTCGGCTGCTCTGGGCTTTCCAGTCTCTTCACGGCCTCTCTCGAGGAGCAGAGGTCTTAGCCTTGGGTCACACCTGTGCCTGCGGGGGCCTTGTTAGAGGAACCTTCTGCAGAGGGCCCTGTGGGGACGGGCTCCTCTCCCTTCCTCTGAGCAGGGCGTCCGCTTGCCCAGAGCCGTGGCGCTGAGAGCCGCCGTTCCCTCGCTGAACTGGATCTGTTCTAACTGTCCACGTCAGGGCTGCTCCACTCTGGCCTCCGAGGTGGCCCCCTTGGCCTCAGGGTCTCTCTGTGCCCCCAACACGCCGTGGATGGCAGTGGCTGAAATCGGGCGGGGTTAGTCCTCCAGCTTTGTGCTTCTTTTTCAGAAAAAGATTGTTTTATTGATTCGGGTCCTTTGGGATGACTGCTGAACTTTAGGATCAGGTCGGTTTCGGTGTCAGGGTTCCCTGAGGAGCAGAACCAGTAGGAAAGAACTACACATATACCAGGGGGTCATGAGAGTGGCCCTCACGGTCCGAGACTGGACAGGGCCACGGTGGCCGTCTGCAGGCTGGAGGGCAGGAAACCAGTCGTTGCTCGGTTCAGGAAGCTGGGGCCTTAGACCAAGAGGGACAAGTGACGCAGCCCTGGTCCCAGGCTGAAGTCCTCGAAGCCTGGAGGAGCGGGTCCACCCTAAAGGGCTGAAGGAGCTGGAGGCGCCTTCCCAGAGCGCTGTGCTCACGGGTGCTGGTGGGCGGCTCCTTCCTCTGCTGAGTGCACCCACTCCCTGGCTGTTGGGTGGTGCCACCCACATTCAGGGCAGGTCTCCCTGCTCAGTGTGTGGTCCCCCTCGTCCCTGGTGCCTGGAAGCACCCTCACAGACACCCCAGAGTGTGCTCTGCCAGTTTCCTAGGCAATCAAGTTGACAGTCAGTACTGACCACCACGGTCTCTCTGTAAAGCTGGGGTTTTGATTAAAATTTCATCGGAGCTTGCCATCTGAATAAGATGGAGTGTTCTGACCCAACAAAATGGAATATTTGTCCTTTTATATGGGTCTTCATATTTCTTAGCAGGAATTTGCTGTAACTTTTAGTATGTGTCTCCTGTCGCGTTTGTTCCTAAGCATTTCCTATTTTTCTTCTGTTGTAAATGGTACTGTTTTTAAGGTCCAATCTGAAATGCCCCTGACCTGTGCATGTTACTGTTGTGTCCTGCTGCCTGGCCACACTCACCAAGTAGTGCCCGCCTTCTGGTGGATTCTGTAGCTCTATGGGGGTGGTGTGATCTGTGAGTGTGAGTCTCTGGGCGCCTTCCCGTGAGCACCCCACACGTGTGCAGGCGTCCCTGTGCCCCTTCCCATGAGCACCCCACATGGGTGCAGGCGTCCCTGGGCCCCTCCACGTGGTGTGTGATCTGAGGGCCGAGCCATCTGCCGAAGCGCGGGCCCATTTCTTCTGCGGTGCTGGTGACAGAAACCCTGGGCCTCGATCTGACCGCAGAGTCTCCTATTTTCTGCCAGCGTTTATGCGACTGACCAGGCTAACTTAATGGCTTACCAGCGAGGTCAGGTCAAATCTCAGAGCCCGACTACCCTGGCCAAGCCTCTAGGACAGGACCGAAGGGGCCCAGCCCTAACCTTCGAGGGAAAGCACCCGTTCTTCCCATCAAACGCAAAGTTGGCCACAGGTTTTCAACAGATGCCTTTTATCTGGTTGAAGAAGCTCTTTCCTATTGCTAGTTTTTTGAGAGTTTATCAGGAATTAGTTTGATTTTTTTGGGGGGATTTGTTGGGTTTATTCCTCCCGCCCTCCCTCTTTAGCTTGTTAAGTTGCTTCATTGCATTTGCTGATAGTGAGCCGTCTCTGGCTCCTAGGGTAAACCCCACTTGGTGGTGTGCGCCTTTGTCTGTTGTGGGTTCTGTTGTTAACATTTTGTACAGTGTCTTTCTTGCTGACCTTGGTGACTGCTCTTTTCTCCTCCTTTTTCGTGTTTTCTTTGGCCGGCTGGTTCTGTGTTGACACCGTCACAGACTCACAGCACGGATTGGGAGTGGAGTTGGTGAGTTCTTCCAGGTGTCTAGACCTCGGTAATGTCTATCCCCACGTCAGCCTGTGGCGTGGGAGGGTTTTTAACCTCACATTCTCTTTCTCCAGTAGATGCATGGCAGATTCCATTCATGTATTTCTTTCTGGACGAGCTTTGGTGGTTTGTATTTTTTAGGAAATGTGTCAATTTCATGTATATTGTGAATTTATTAAGATAGAGGCGCTCTTCATTATCTGTCTTGTTATTCTGTTGATACCCGTAGAACATCACTGTGGGTACTCTAACCTGGTTCCCCATGTCCTCCACGTCTTGTTAGGGCTTTCTCAGTTTATCCGTCTTCTCACAGAGAACTTAGTTCTTGCTTCCCTTGACTTTTCTCTGTTGATCTCATTGATTTTTCTATTTTATTGATTCTTGCTCTGATTTTCATTCTTTTTTTTACTCTTGTTGGCTTTTAAAATTTAAAAGTGGCGCCTGTGAGTTTGTGGGCAGTGTGTTGGGGGTGCTCCTGAGGACGGTCAAGTGCTCACTTCACGTGAGTCGAGGTCGCGCCGGGTCCTTGGTGCTTTTCGACGTTCCTGGCGGGCAGTGTGCCTCCACTCTCCGGCCCTGGAGTTTGGAAGCAAACCACAGCAGCACGTTTGCCCCGCTGGCCGGACGTGGGCAGGGGCCTTGCCTACAGGCGGCTCCTCTGGGCCCTCCAGGTGTCTCGCCGCCTCGGTTCCGGGTGGCCAGGGTTATGGTGTGGAGTCGGGACGAGCAGAGGGCCCTGGAGGAGCGTCGGTGCCCCTCATTACGGCTTGACTCTGGGGTCTAACTGAGGAAGGCCGTGGCGGCAGGCCCTGCTTTTCCATGGGGCTGCGCGAGTAGGTCTCATCAGGCCTCCCATCAGCTCTCATCAGGGCTGTCCTTCAGGGCCCCGGGAGCAGCGCCGGCCGTCTCCGCCCCTGGCGTGTGGCCTTGTGAGTTCCTAAAGAGCAGCTCCCCTTGGCACGCAGAGGCTCTTATTCCAGGGCATGGACCTGGAGATGACCGAGGGAAACAGTGGTACCTGTGCTTCCACCCCAGGGCCAGCGGCCCAGAGAGGGCTCCTCCCTGCCCTGGAGAACTTCAGCATTCCTGGGTTCAAATGCCCGTGATGGTTTTAGAAATACAGACTCCTCGACAGAGCCTGTCCCCCATGTCACCACCCTCCCTCCCACATACCTGTGCAACACACAGCCTCACACCCAACAGGCAGGGTCAGCGTGTCGGAGGACACCCCCGCCTCACCTGGGACAGCGTGTCTCGGGACCCTTTTTGTTGGTGCAGCCATTGAATTCTCTGAGTCCCGATGCAGGAGAGGAGTGCTGTGCAGCTGGGGTCTCTGCTGCCCGTCTCTGATCTGCTCACAGGTTCCATCACAGCGATGGCGGGGTCTGGGCTTCTCTCAGCCTGATCTTGATTAGAAGTCTTTCTGCTGTCTCTGTCTCTGTGTTAGTTTTGGCCATTATTTAATCGCAGCTGGGAAGCTGGGGCGATGTTCCTGGGACATGAGGCATGGCCTTCTGTGTGCTGGCCAGAGAGTGAATGCCCTTGAGTTGAGAGCTGGGACTGTGCCTTGGTCCCTTTCCTTGAGGGATCTGGGGCACCTTCTCGGTTGCCAGGCCTCTGCGTCTCAGCTCTCTGGAGCCCGGTTCCGCCTCCTGGTGCTCAGCAGAGGCTGGCCGCGGTCCAGCTTTGGACTGTAGCTGTGGCCTGCTCAGATGGTGTCCCTTCCCCCAGAAGGTCATTTGCTGTGTGCTGGAGTGAAGCTGGCGCACTGACCCTGCTGGTCATGGACAAGTAGGGTTCTACCTGTAAGGGACAGCAGAGCCGGGGCTGGAGGTTGGACTCACAGCTGAGGCATGGTGCCTTCTGCCCCGCTTAGTGTCTCCCTGACTGAGTGTTTGTGGTGTGGCTCGGGAGCCCAGGGCCCTGCACATGCTGGGCAGGCGCTCTTCCACCCCAGATCGCTGGCCCCTCTTCAGTATTGATGTACCGGGGGCAGAGGTAGGGGCTGTGCCTGCCGGGCATTGCGGAAGAGCGTTGAGGCCTCTGTCTCCTGGATGATGAGGGGAGACCAGACCGCTAGTGACAGGAGCCCTTTTTGGCAAGACGAGGCTGCGCTGTGGGTCCCTTGTGCAGAGATGGTGGCGACGGCCTGGCCGTGGGTGCTGTGAGGGACTTCACTTAGAGCGGGCCTGCAGGCTTGCTTCTTCCCCAGCCGCCACCGTTTCTCTTCCCTGTCACTCTGCGCAGTGCAGGGTGACTAGGTAAGATCAAGTGGAATTAGAGTCAGCCCATCACAAATTGCTGGCACCCAGGCTGTGAGCTGAACAGCTGCACTGGACGTGAGGGACAGGGAAGGACCCTGTGGACAGGAGTGCAGTCCCCCAGGTGGGAAGGCGGCTGGGCTGTCCACCCCGGGAGCAGCGGTGGCCCTCTGGCTTCCAGTCGTGTCTGTGCTTAGATACGTGCACACACA